AAAATGGACAAGCGCGACACAAATTCGCACACTGAATTTTAAACAATATTTTAAAGGAGAAATTTCTTTCGACGGTTTTTTAGTGTACTTTCGTCAATTGAGAAAAAATAGGATAATTATTAATACAAATATTAATATCGCAGCGCCTGATCGTTTTAATAAAATGCTTTATTATTTAGGTGATTTCCTTTATTAAATTCGTTAGGCGTTTTACGTATACAAATAAGATAGGTTCTTATTTTTTAAGGTTTTGCAGCTAAATTATGTTATGGATGAACTGTAGTCTTTTGAAAAAACATTAATTTTTTAAAGACATTAAAACAAAAGGATTTTTCAGAAAAGGTGTAGGGACATTTTCTTCAGGGTTGAGAACGCACGCGTAATGCATTGCAGGCGTTCATAATCTACGATAACCACTCATCATCAGGTAGGTCCTATGCTTGTTTGCCACTTGAAAGGTATAAAAAAAATAGAAAAATATTTTCCTCTTAATTTCATTCATTTTGTCTATCTGCCTCACCAATTGGTCATCATATACCTATTATATCGTCATACCTTTTACAGCTTCCGTCTTTAAAAAATACTAAATGCTCCCTATGGCTTCCCTTGCTATATGATATATAAAGTATCCTGTTTTGTATCAGTATATAACTTATTAGTGTACCAAATTTTATTAAAATCTGTTCAATAGTTTTTGCACGAAAGAACAACAGATTAACCCATTCTCACAAGATTTCCCTTTAGTGGGATTATAGGTAGACATTTAATAAAGGTTAGCGATCCAGCTCGGCTTCGCTAATCTTCTTCGGCTTTATTTCTAGATCGAATGTTTGGATATAATATATAGCCTATGTGACTCGTTGATAATGTAGTTTTTTATAGGTAAAAGAATTTTTAAAATAGGTTGAGTAGTTTTATGTTCGTCCATTACAAACAAATACTCAAATCTTTCCTCTTTATAATATTAGTATAGATATTATATTCATTAACAAAAAACCAGCAAGTTAGATGCTGTGATAGAAAAATAGTCATGAGAAAATTCTAAATTTTACTCATGTTTTGAAAGTTTGTTAACTTTTGATCAGTTGACAAAATAAATAAGAAAGTTCGGTAAAGTAAATTTTACTTTGCAGCAGGCAGTTATTGATGCGTAAAGAAAAATGGCGCCTGGAAACGCCATAAAATAAACATAGCGTCAACAGGGGATTCAACTGATTGCGAGAAGAATTCTCATAATTGATTAAGAATCAGAAATGTTCTCGTGTAACATAGCTACAAAAATAGAAACGAATCGAAAACTTCTTTAGAGGTCGATACATTTCTAATGAATCGATTTAATATATTTGTACGTATTTAGATATATACATACGAAATATCTACAAAAAATATACATAGATCTGCAACCAATTCCAGTGTAAAGCTTCGGTGAATTATTTTTGTAAAATTAAAGGTTTCCAAAACGTTTCCAAACAGGGTGAAAGGGTATTGAGCAAATTTAAAAATATGATCCCGTATTACAACTAAATTTTTTTAGTAGACGTAGAACGTGCCAGATTACTTAAACGAATTGCTCAGCATGGCTAAATCCCTATTACTTCCATTGTATCCGCTGATTAGCTTTATAAAAATGCACGTTTCATTTTCCGTAGAATATTTATGGATAAGGAAGTCACTTTAAGTAATGTTTCGTTTTTCAGCTTTTACTGTTTATTATTGATTATTATTAATTGTTACCAAATTTAATTTGTATTCGTTTAGCCGTTTAAGCGTATATGTTATATCGTTATTGTGAATTTATTATGTGGACATTTATATTTTTTACAAGTAATTTTTTTATAAGAGCAGCTATAATCTATATAAAAAAATAAAAGTTAAAAGCTATAAAGCGCGTATATATATATATATATATATATATATATATATATATATATATATATATATATATATATATATATATATATATATGTTTTTTTTTGGTTATTTTTATTATAACATAATTTTCTAACGCCCACTACAAAGAGTAAGCGGCCTCTTAATATGATTTTTAATAATTTTTTATACGCTGTTTCAACATACATGCGTTATGATGAAAGTTCTAGTTTATATTTGAATGATGACAATTAATAGGAATATAGTTACTGAAGTGTTTTAAATTAAATTCTATTATAATTTTTTAAATGTATTTTAAATATATTTCATAAAATACAATTTAGTTGTAGATGACACATTTTATATTATTCTATACACCTTTTATTGAACCATTGTTAATAATAATAAAAAATTATATCTGCATATTAATAAATACATAACCAATACTAACATGCCATTTGATACGATGAGACCAAAAAATGGACATTATTATTATTAAAATATGACACCTTATCAACAATGGTTCAAATATATTAATTGAGTAGTAACAGGTTCAGAACCTATAATGTACACTTACTGAAGTATTAATGTTTATATTACGTATAATATTTACTTTAATTTGGGTATTATATAATTTACATTAAGTAAATTACACAAACTCATGGATTATAAAAAAAAAAGAAATCAAATCAAGTCTCGAACTCTATTCACCTACAGCGGCAAAAATGAAGGGCAGCAAACTTGGGATTGTGATTGTAAATCAAGTGTGAGAACTGCCTGTCCCGAGGCGTACTAATTATCTTTTAATCGTTAATGTAATGCCGTAAAAATTAATGCCATATTTTTATGGTATTACAATAATTAGATATATCAACGTTGAAAAGGTAAGATGTTCTAAATGCCATTTTAGTCGACATCGAGTAAATCATCTGTGCTGAATAACATGTTTAATTAAATTAATTGAAATTTGTCGACGATTTAGGCAAGTCACAAAATAGCTGATAACAGAAATTTCTTTACTTTACACTCCACGATTTTTTGCTTTTTTTTTTCTATAGAATATGTAAAAAATTACAAAGTTTATCCGTATCTGATATTTACTTACTACACATATAGTTTTATTTTTGTCTCCGGTAAAATTTACTAAATGACGCTTAATTCATTTTGTCTCTCCACCATCGATGTGGTGTAATTGTCAAAGGCAGTGAATATTATATTTGCCCGGAGTGGCGAAATAAATCCGACCCTGAATAAAGTTAACAAAGTAACGGCTATATAAAGAACATTATAATTTATGTACATTCCTTTGATGTAATGCACGTAAAATCGACGTTTGTGATCGAGTTTTATGTTATAATATCAAAGGGTAATATTAATGGAACATTAAAAAGTGTTGACTACATTTTGTTCACTAACAACTCATCACGAAACATCTTAGTTCTAGTGTAATTTCTTTATTTGTCTATTATAGTTACATAAAAAATAAAATTACATTTATTCTTGTGGTTATACGTTTATATTGTATTATTTAATTAAGTTTCCATTTATTTCATTTAATGATTGTTGCTGCAATATCCTGTACGTGGAAACCAGCATCAGCATTTGTCTCTTAGCTGGCACAATGCCAGCCTCGATTCAGGAATCTATTTGGCTATCAAATGTTATGTGTCTCATATCAATGACATTAAATGTATTTGAGAAGTTTATGTTTAAATTAATATAATTTATTAATTTTGACGTTGCTTTCTTTAGTGTTTTATTAAGCGTTTTGTTTTTAGGAATCATGTCTCACGACCTGTCTTTAATCATCATATAATCCGACAGGGAATATTGTTTAGTTTCTCAAACACAAAATGCATTGACGAGTTTACATATATAGAATGCTTGGTAGCTAAGAATGTAAGATGGTTTACATTTATAAAACAAATTGAAAATGAAGTTAATTTTAATAATCTTTTTTACAGTAACAAATGAAGCCACAACAGTGCTATTTGATTACGATGTAGTCACAGTAATAAATGAGAAATGGGAAACAGAAAAAGTATTGGAGAATTGATCTACTATCAAGTAAAAGTACTATATTACTATTAAACTTCTTGGTTTCTTATTACCAAGGAGAGAGTGCTCTATTTTAAAGATATCTTTTATTTGCAGTTGTTGTTAGTTCTATAAATATAAAGTATAGTTAAACTAATTTTGTGGTTTTTTATTGTGTTGGCCTTATATCAAAACGCGTTAATCTCCAAAAGCGATTAATCAATTTTAATGAAATTTTATTAATATCTATTGTTTGTTCCAGCTTGAGAAATAGAATAGTTTTTATGGTAATAAGACAAAATGAAAACATTAGGGGGCGGTAGAAAATAAAACGAATCCATAATAAAGATGATAAAACAACGCTATTTTAGAAAACATTAAATTAAATAACGAAAAATAGCTAGTTGTATGTAGTGTATATCAACATTTTAGGATATAATCTACATTTATAGCAAAGTTATTCAAATTTATCCAGCCACTTAAGGTCGATTGAATATGATCATACCAATGTCTAAACATCTTTATAAACGTTTACATTTATAATATTAGTAGGCAATAAAAAGGAACAATAACTAATGGAGTTATAATATATAATTATGTTTTATCTTAAGATTAGTAATACATATGATAAATATATATTAATATTATTCTATTGCGTAAGGTAAATATTTTGATAAATATATGTTAAATACGTGATAATAATTGTAATTAATAAATAATTAAGTGTAATAATGATCGAGATTAAGTTAATTATCAAGAAATTACAATTATAAACGTACTAAAGTCTTCATTATATAATATATATATATCATAATATACCATGGTTTGTTCGGTTTAATTTGTTGAAAGGTATATCAAAAATGTCCCTCGTAGTATGTTATAAAATTAATTTTAAATAGTGTACGCTAATCTCACAAACTAGTCAACTGATTTTAATGAAATTTTGTAAATATATATTGTTTGAACTTTCTAAGACAGGGTAGTTTTAATCTGATAATGTCACAGTATGATAGCTACAGGAAGCAAAACAAGGTCTGACTGGTTAGTTTTATATTTTTTATAATTTTAGTCGGAGAAGGAAAATAAAAATATAATCTTTTATGAATATTTATTCTACTAAATGATACTAAATACTGTACGTATTTCATATAAGTATTCTATGAATAATGAACAGACTATTTACTATGTATCAATCTAATAATTAGCAGTTTTCATAACAAAAGCCCTAATTTTTTAACAATGTCATATATTATTCAAACGAAGATAAATAAAATATTAAAATATCATAAATATTAAGTAGGAATATAAATTTCTGTATTACCATCAACACACTTTACATAGGAAAATATCGTCCATACCTTACAAGTACTATTCAGATATAATTTTTATTAGTGATATTGAGTATGTATATATAAAAGACATAAATTCATTTATTGATGCTATTATATTATTATATATTATATAGGGCTTTCATTAAACTCGTTGCATCCGATATGTAAAGCGTACGTCGTGATTGTTGGAAAAGATTGCCACTTATGTGCTGTAAAGATTCAAAGCTGAAGAGACATTTAATGATTAGAATTACTTGAGCTCTAAAGTCACTAAGCTGGACAAATACAGATTTAAATTTTTGAAATTATTATATGATCTGTTGCAATATTTTCTGATAAAATTGGAGAAAAACTGTTTGTATTATGTTTTAATGGAATTATCTTTTTCGTATTCTTTATGATTATTGTCGCCTGTTCTCATCTTCCGTTTCTCTATGACCTCCTTCGATACTGATTTCATGTCATAAGCCCATCCAATTTTAGCCATCAAGTTTATAAATCTCGTGGTCAAGTTAAGGGGAGCACCTAATTCAGCTGTTCTGTAGTCCCATGGGAACGTGTGGTGATAGTTATGGTAGCCTTCTCCGAGTACCATCAGGGCTAAAGTCTTACCATCACCAGGGTTTATATTCTTGTTGTAAGGTCTGTAACCCCATTTGTGGGCTGCAGAATTTATTAGCCACGTAACATTCATACCAACAATGAATCGGAAAACTGCACATACAAAGAAAGCATTCCATGCCGTCTCTCCCCACAATGTGGGTATGTATGTAGGAAGTACAAAGCAAGTCGCTAACATAAGCGGCATATAGTATCTGAAAAAAAAATATATATAAATTAGAAGTTCTCATTTTGTTTGTACTTTATTGTGTGCATATTGTGTGTATATTTTTTATTGTATATACATATAAATTTATAATTTTTGTATGAGTAAAATATATTTGTTTATTTAATCGAGTATCTTTATACATTCTAAAGGTCGATTGGTAGAGGATGCTAATAGCATTAAGTCCGCCTTTTTACAGGTTTATAAAGTTTAAACAGATTTTATGCGTTGGAAAAACACAGTACTATTACTTATTATCAGCTGAGGTAAGATCAAGCGCAAACCTACCTTGTACTAATAAAATATTCTTGAACATTATTGTTAGATTTCACCAATTTTATCATTACTTTACATTCGTTATAACAGTTTCAAAATTATACTCTGTATTCAGATATATTTTAGACGTAATAAATATGTTATATGATGTAAACAATACCATAAAACAACAGTACTTGCATAGCCGTTTCGGTTTAAATCTATGCATGATATTGTGTGTTGTTTGTGAACTGTTTACTTTTAATAATGCCTGATTATTATTTTCCATCAAATGGACTTATTTGACATTCTAAATTGTATAAAAATATTTACTTTTCCTGGTATCGAAGCACAGGATCAGCATATAAGTCACTGAGGTCGATTTGCTGTCCTTTAGCTTTCACTTCGGGATGCTTGCGGACCAGCAGCCAGCCGATATGAGAGAAGAAGAAGCCCCGAGTTGCGTTGTAAGGATCAGCATCGGTGTCTGAGTACTTGTGGTGGACTCGGTGATCGCGTGCCCATATAAGCACGGGGTGCTGTAAAAATACCGTGAAATATTTTGTTACTTTCATAGTATATTATTATAAAGTGTTCAGTGTATAATAAAAAAAATATACCTCCATACCGAACAATCTACGTATCGCCGCCAGAATCCTTCTCCTATAAGGAAAGGTCCACTTCTAGCAGTGGTATATTCATGGGCGGTTAATAAGTTACGTTTGATATGAAGTAAAAAGTACAACAGAAGTTAATATTTAATACAAATTTTTTTCGTAGTCCTATAAAAAATTGTGTATTAAAAATATTAAGTAGAAATCATAAACAAAATCTTTGTCTAACCTGAAATGCCATACTGTTGAAGATTGCAAGGATGACACGTAAAGGAAAACGAGCTTTGTATGCTCTATGAGACCAGAGTCTATGCACGCCCGCTGTAATGCCTAAACCGGCAATTATATACACGACAACCGCTATAAGAAAAAAATAACACAATTATTATCTGTCGAAATTATTAAACTTATTATTATAAAATTTTTATTAATTATATATATAAAATAATGTAAATTATTATTAAAATAAAGTAAAAATAATGTTATATGTCTAGACGAGATTACTTTCAGCAATAGGACCGCCAATTTTACTTGCTTTCGTATCCTGTTTATATCCTTCTCCTCAAATCGAAACACATATAAGCACATACGCTTCACAGTAGAAACAAAGAAGGAATAGAATTACTCATGCAGACGACTTTAGTACAAAGTCTTTCTTTGTTAAGTCAGAGCCTATGCGAAATAAAAACTATTTTATTTATTGTATTTTCTTTACGCAGAGATGAGAAATTCAATACAATATATTGAACAATAGTTGAAAACTGTTACAGATTAAAATTGAGATTACAGATAATAATTTTTAAAAATATAATTTAAGGATGTTATTTATATATAAATGATATATATATTTAATCTGCTGATATTTAACTAGTTTTTGCTCGTATATTATATTCTATTTTTTTTTATTTTTTAAAAGCTATGTCTAATTTGGAGCAATAATTTTTGAGACAAGAATTAAGAGATAGATAGGCAAAATTTTATAAATTATTGTTCCCCTTCCCCGCTACTATAATACATAAGATCCTCTGTAATATATAAGACCTCTCATATAATTGTTATTTAAAATTTCTTTTATGTCAATATAAGACATCGTCTAGTTGCAATATTATATTTTTTTATATTATATTTTTTTATTATTTCAGGCATTAACTGTCCACTGTTGGTCATAAGCTTTCCCCATAAGGGGAGTTTTTTTTTATGGGTGAAAATGGTATGGTAACCCCGCCTGCGCTAACGGGATACGCTGGCGGAGCACCAGTGAAGGGTGATTGATGAGAATGAAAACAGGCCAGTTAGCCTATCATAATGAATTCATCAGGAATTAACCATGATAGTTTCCAGGGGGAACCGCGAGGAGGTCGACCTGGTTGGGTATATTGCTAGCAATGGGATTCTCAGTCTCCATTACTAACAATCCCTTCCCCCCATAAGGGGAGTTTTGCCAGTAGTTATCATGCTTTGCAGGCGGATTTGCAACTGCTGTTAGACTTTTAGACATGTTTTTAGAGGAACGCTGCTGCTTATCCTACGCCCTTGCGATTAATATATATATATATATTACTATGCATTTATATCTAGCATTCTAATAATGTTATTATATAAATAATAAATTATATATTACCAAAGACACAGGTCAAAAGTTTTACTTGTCCAAGGAAAAGATAGCAGCCGTAGAGGCCGGCGATATGTGCTATGAGAAATATGAATACATTAGGCCACACTATGTCCAGTTTTCTATCTTCAGCTGATGGTTGAATTACTTTTTCTAAGTCTTTTTCTGATTGCTCATTCTCGAACAACACATAAGATCCTTTCCTTTCTCCTCGTGGTGCCATTTTACTGTAATAGTAACAATTAGTTTTTCTAGAATGTTCTCAACATTTAAAGATCGAAGACAATTTTATTCGCTTAAAAATTATCAAGCTTTCTTATTCCAGGGCAAAAATATTACTACAAGTTTAAATTTCGAACATACTGTTAACATAATATAAACCATGAAGAAAAAATATAAGTTTCTTTATTTTTATTATTATAGATAAAAGATATTGGTATAGTATATTGGTATATTCTTTTTGTACGGTCTGTTAGAAACAAAGATAATAGATTAAGGATAGACCTGTTACGACATGGATGGATCTTAGGGGAAACAAGCTTTTAACTTGTCAAAAAAAAATACTACAATCTTAGATTATATAGACAGAGTGTCTCCATACAAATTTGTGAAACGTAAGAAAAAAGAACAATTCAAATTAAAAAATAAAATATTTAAAAAGATCGTGGATAATTGGCTTTTGGTTTATAACACCAAAACTAACTCTGTATACCAAGTATATAACTATGAACAAAGATTGTCAGCTAAAATCGGTATTACTCTTATCTATAGGTTATATATAAAATTTGTAATAATATTTCTCGGTTTTATATTGTTTATATTTCATTACATGAAAAAATTGGGAGAAATTATTTCTTTTTGCATTATACGTGAAATATAAATTTACTCTTAATACCTCCTTTGACGTACTAATTCGAAAAACAAATATTTAATCTGATTGAATAAATTAAATCTTTCTATTTTTTTATTTTTATTTTTAATCAGATGTAGAATGATAAGTAAGCATTTTTCGAAACTTCTGTGGGAATGGATGATACACAGTATGAATATTATAATTTTCATAGCAAATATTTTAAAATAATTTAAAATATAAAATTATAATTAAAAACATGATACCATTTTACTTACATAACTTATAAACGGAAAATTCCTTTTAAGTTATAATTAGATGCAAATCTGATTTGATTTCAACTGGCAACTTGATGTTCAGAGGAGTTCTAGGTATTTATCGGCACAAATGCACGATTTCATTACCTAGAGTAGACTGGAGAGAGAAAATTTCTCAATCTCTTTATATATCATTAGTTTGTTTATAATAGCACGAAAAATAACCATTATCAATCAATCAATTAATCATTCAATAATTTATTTGCTTAAACATATATAGGTACACATAGTTGTGATTATTTTATACTCTGTGAATGCTGTGTTTTGCAATCATTGAGCGTACAAATATTATTACATATTCTTAATCTATTTACTTACTAAATAGTAGATGGGTTCGCAGCTATCCCTAATTTTTTATTAGACATATGCCTCTCACACATTTTTTCTGTACTCTAAAAACATTCAGTATTTTAAATAAATTCCCTAGAATATAATTCTATATTTTACCATTGGGCAGAATATTATAATAAGCAGTAAGCAAAGATTCTCTATTAGATATTTTCGACAACTGATATAAGGCGTAGGAATACTTGTTGAGTTTTGTGAATTATTTGTTTCCTATAATATGTATTTCCATGTTCAATTTTTAATTATATGTACATAAGTAATTATTAAAAAATTTTTGGTAAAAATTAATAAAGGATGTTTATATAATATTGATTATATGACGTGATTAAATTGTCGGGATGGGTCAAAAGGGGATATTTAAACAACTGCCTAGAAACGTGACTTTCTAATCGTAATTATTGTTTAACATAATAATGTGCAATTAACCAGAAAATAACGTGACCGGGATTTGTTGACAGACAAGAATAAAAAAAGACAGTGTTATTTTTCACATCGGTCTATATATCTTTTCTTCAATCAATTATCTCTGTTTGAATAAAGATAAGTCCAAATTATCTTTATGCAAACATAAACATAAGGGTGGGATATGGCGTGAATTTACAGGGTACAGAGGAATAACACCTAAGTCTTCAGGAATGACAACGCATGGGTGAAACGTATACTCTGTTATGTCCATGGTACTCATGTCTATAGGCGACGGTTACCACTTTTCATCAAGTGGGCCGTCAGCTTGTTTGCCATTCTAAGTTGTATAAAAAAAATTAGTTTTCGGTCGAGTCAATTTAGAAAGTTAACTTTTGCACATTGGTTTCTGTATTCTTGGACTTCTGCTACAAACTTAAGAGTGTTTATATGGAAGAATCGCTGTAGTCCCGGTATAGAATAGACCTTTGGTGATCTTTAAACATTACCAAAGTCCTATGTTCAGCAGTGGACGGACAGCGGTTGATATCATGGTGATGATGATGGTATAGAAGCATGTATTATTTATTAATTTACAAATAAAAAAATGAATAATGAAAAAGTATATTTTGTTTATTTATAAATGTTTTTATAGCAAATTAAAATGTGTTTAAATCATACAATTAGATTCATAAAATTTTTTGACGGTACAAATGCAAAAACAAGATAAAAAGTAGTTTCAAAAATTTTTATTAATTGTTGTAATCATCAATTAGCGAAAACGTCAATACGTTTAAAGGCCGAAGCCGCACAGGCATAACGTCCTCTGTTGTGGTTAGTGTGGACTGCGATGATTACTTACTATCAGGTAAACCTCATGTACGTTTATTACCCTTTCATCTAAAAAAGTACTGAAATATCGCATTGCACTAATTTTGTAAACTAAATGGTGTTGTACATATCTATTAGCGAGGGTTAATACTTTCTATTAAATGAATTGCAGCTTGTGGTACAAAAATAAACATCGTAATTGTTCACTTTACGACACCATTATAAGTAAATAATTGTAATGTCCGTAATACATGTTGTGTAGAAAAAAAAATAATTAATTGATCAATTAATGTATTAATAATCTGCTTAATTTATTGTTACATGTCATGGTTGTTTCACATGCACAAAATTTCTGAGCAACAGGCCCAAGAATTTTTCTGCAAACCAGGTAACATTTTTAAAAATATTTAGAGATACGTTTTGTAAAGTTAATTAATTTGTGTGGGCACGTTAATATTGTAAATATAAAAATCCGAGCTTTTTCAAATAAATTTTGATTTAATTTTACTAGAGCGATACTGCATACAAAAGTGGTTTGGATACATAAATATCTTTGTTCCACTCCTGTCTCTACTGCCAAATATCTATGTTTGCATATATATATTTATATTGCTCATACTATGTTTTAGCGTATGTAGAAGGAATATTAAGAAGCTATGTAGATGTTTCCATTTGAAGAGTAAGTACGAGTATTTTAGGATAAGACGATAAGATTACAGGAGGAGATATTGATATAGAGATATTGCAGCCGCAGCGTATTCTGTGATATCCATGGCTCGTATCTATAGGGGACAGTTACCATTTTCCGTCTGGTAGGTTGTCGGCTTGGTTGAAAACTTACTAACTCCTCTCACTACTTACCTAATCTAACATTGTACAGTTGAGTGTATATTTGTTTATTTAATTCGTTGTATATTTGAGCCCATTGATGCCATTCGATAAGCGCTTTGCCTACGTTCATATATTATGTCAATTTAATCTATTTGTATCTCGCTCGATCCTATCAATTAAGACAAATATATGACCATAATTTAACTACTAGTAGTTTATAAGAATATAGCACCTACCTAGTATTGCTTTATATAGTTACACCTTGAGCTCATACATTGCATACAAGAATTATGTTACGTGAACAATATAATTATATTGTTCACGTAACATAATTCTTGTATCAACAATCGTGATTTCGTTCCCATGACTGGAATATGTTGATTGACCAGAATAAATAGTAAATTTTGTCCTTCTCCATGCTAAATAGAAAAAGGAAAATATCAAAAGTACCCTGTACTGTGTTTACTAATGGGGAAAAATAGTATAAAAATCAAAACGATATTTTTATATATTTATTAAAAAAAAAAAAACATTTGGTAACATGTAAACAGCCAAATATTAAAATAACATTGATTGTAGGCGCCCAATGCGATTCATAACCCCGGTATCAAATTTGAAACTTCAGGTATTTAAGCGTTAATAAAATTGAGTGTAAATATCAATATCGTAATTTCCTACTATTTGATCGAATTAATAGTATAGTACAGTTGTTTTAAAAATTGTTGTTGAAATCGCTTAAAAAGTAAAAGTTAAACAGTATTCGAAGCTTTTTTTTAAAAGTCGATTACTCCTATTTTACCTTTTCCATAACGTGTTTTCTTCATTCTATAACCTCGAATCCTTCAAACGTAGCGTTAAAAAGCATTTAGTGAGCCGACATAGTGCGGCCAAACGTTGAGAGAAGAACATTCTCTTTTCGGTTGATCGCATCATACAGTTCTTGTTCAAACATGAGATTAAATGACTTTTATTACTGTTTATTATACGGAACAATTACCTAATATATATATATGTATGTATATATATATATATATATATATATATATATATATATATATATATATATATATATATATATATATATATATATATACACGATTAAATATAATATAATATAATATAATTGTTATTATATAATTCTATTATATAATTATTTTTTCGTTTCCCAAACTTCAGAATTGGCATTACACAGTGTCGCCATATGCTGTTTTATCTCGTTTTTAAACTTTAGTTTCGACCCTATAAAGAGAGCAATGTCAGAAAAGATTTTGTTATCTTGTAACTGTATTACTTGGTAATTTGACAAATAAAGAATTTTTGCCATAATTAGTAATATGGCGTACACATAAAAAAGTAAGTATTTCTGACAATTATATGAACTAATATTTTCGTTATTTTATTTTATTTAAAAACAGTATCACTCCTGTGATACTGTTTTCTTTTTTAAAACAAAATTTTACATTACCTATAATGACACAAAGTAACAGATTCCACTTACATATTAAAGGATTTTTATAATATTGTTTAGTAAAAGTATTTAAAGTAAAATTCTAAGAAAATATATACAGTATATTGGTCGTTCGATTAATTAAAGAGCTTCAGTAATTCGATACAGGGACGAATCGATTGTGTATGTATACCGATCGTGTTTGTTTGCCCTATACAGAAGCTAGTAGAAAACAAAAAGTAGTCAGTTTGCTACGTGTAATCAACTGCCGAAGTTTCTAGAATTGGATTTTCGCACAACTGTTACTTTCTCTTGGGTCGTTAAGCAAGGGCTGAATGTAGTCGTTCACTATAATATATGACACCAAATTGTTTGTTCGTTGGACCTTAATATCTTTGGAGCCTGATGTTTTGAATATTGCAATTGATTAATATATCAATTGTTTATTGGAAAACTTTGGAAATTGAAATGATTAGTATGGAAAATTATTGCCGTAAAAAATTATAACGGAATTTCATATTGCATACAAATCTGTTCCATACATAAAAATGTATACAAAAACATAGGTGATATGTTAATAGACATATCACCTTTGTTTTTATTTCAGTAGCCTATATAAACAAAACACAGCTTTACAGTTATGATAAATTTAATTAGTACAATTATAACTAGCAAATTAAAAACATAACTATTTTATTCAAAAGGAACTATTTAAAAAAAATAGCCACTCTCATTGGAGATAATATAAAGATTCAAACGATCCCGTATACATACATATATGTAAGTCTGTTCAGGCATTTAGTAGTTATGCGATTAAGCGAAGCTAATAATTATCTATGACAAGTTCTATAATAATAAAATAGTTATACATATCTACGGCGCTGTTCATAATGTATTATTAGCTGTAATATATTATTACTTTTGCTCAGTAAAGTAAAAAACTATACATGTGTATTAAAAAAAAGTAGTAGTTCTAATGAATAAAGTAGGTTGTAAATTATTGAATAATATATAAACATACGTAATATATGATCGCCATAAATCATGCTTCATTTTCAGCTTATACCTAATTTGAATTATAATTTGGAAATGGCCGATAAACGTAATACTCAAAGCATGTAACTTTCATGAATGTATTCATACGCAAGATGGTACGTGACTCAAATTGTTTATCCACCATGCAATCTGATTGAATTGGATTTATATGGCAAGGGCCTTTGATAAGAGTGTATAGAGACCTATAGATTGTAACCGGTGCAATGAAAAAATAAGTAGTAGAAATAGTTTCGTAAATACATATATTGTTTGCTTTTGGATTTTTTTTTAATATTATTTAGTAGTTTTCCTTAAGTAATGAAATGGATACATATATGTATATAATGTATATGAACGTAATATAAAAAAAATAAACATCCTAACATCTTTACAAACATTATATTTAAATTAAAGATCGGAACACCATTACAGATAAATATTTTAGTATTTGGATATCTAAAGACAGCAATAATAGGTATATTAGATATTATTTCCTCGAAATGGAGTCGTATTAAGTCCCGATTATAAATTTTAATATGTGTTAATAATGAGAAAGATAAAAATTAACTACTTATGACACCCACGGTAAAGAAAGGGGTGGCCTATTCTATAGTGAGTAATAACTACTGGGGTTACAATACATAATTTAAGGTTAGTAATAAAAATAATAAATATATATTCATTATTATTACGATATTGCGTAAGGTAAATATTTTAAAAGATATACGTTAAATACTTGCTAATAATAGTAATTAATGTATAATTAAGTATATTAACGATACGAGATAACGTTAATTATCAAGAAATTACAATTATGAACGTACTTAAGTTTTAATTAATATTCTACCAGGGTTTGTACAGTTTAATTTATTGAAAGGTATATTAAAAATATCCTTCGGTATTGTATCGCAAAATTTAATGGAGCAGCATGAGTGTAGGCTAATTTTCAAAACCAGTCAACTGATTTTAACGAAATTTTGGTATTGTTTGAACTTGAAAGACAGGGTAGTTTTTATTCTAAAAAAAACAACAGAGTACAGACGCTACAGGAAGCAAAACTAGGTCTAATGGGTTATCTATATTTGTTTATAATTTTACTTGGACAAGGAAAATAAAAACATAATAATTCATGAATATTTATTCTACTAAATGATACTTACAGTATTTTGTACGGGTATTGTTTTAATAAACTGAATATTTACTGTGTATCAATCTAATAATTAACAGTTTTTATAGCAAAAGCCCTTATTTTAAATCAATATCTTGTATTATTTAACCGAAAATAAATAAAATATTAAACTATTATCACAAATGTTAAGTAGAAAAATAAATTTCTGTATTACCATCAACACACTTCACATAGGAAAATATCGTCCACACCTTATTACAGATTAAATTTTTATATAATTATGAAGGCAGTACATTGATAAGTATAATCAAGCGTCTAATCAAGTGACATTGAACAGAATATATGTCAAATTAAAAGTATATACTTAGTGCTGAAATAAATAAGAAATATATATACAGTAAGCCAGTTAATCGTTATAATTTTTTTAAGATATATAATTATATTCTTCTATACACATATGTAGACAAAAGCCTTAATTTTATTTATTAGTGTCGTTCTATTATTATATATTATATAGGGCTTTTGTTAACCTCGTTGTATCCGTTATGTAAAGCCTTACGTCGTCATTGTAGAATAGGATTGTCATTTATGTGCTGTGAAGTTTCAAAGTTTAAGAGGCATTTAATGATTCAAATTACTTGAACATTTTTACACTAAAGTCGCTGAGCTGGACTAACACAGATTCAAACTTTTGAAAGAATCACAAGACCTGTTGCAATATTTCCTGATAGAGATAGAGAAAAACTGTTTGTATTATGTTTCAACGGAATTATTAATCTCGTGTTCTTCATGGTTATTATCGCCTGTTCTCATCTTCCGTTTCTCTATGACCTCCTTCGATACTGATTTCATGTCATAAGCCCATCCAATTTTAGCCATCAAGTTTATAAATCTCGTGGTCAAGTTAAGGGGTGCACCTAATTCAGCTGTTCTGTAGTCCCATGGGAACGTGTGGTGGTAGTTATGGTAGCCTTCTCCGAGTACCATCAAGGCTAAGATCTTATCGTCACCAGGGTTTATATTCTTGTCGTATGGTCTGTAACCCCACTTGTGGGCTGCAGAATTTATTAGCCACGTAACATTCATACCAACAATGAATCGGAAAACTGCACATACAAAGAAAGCATTCCATGCCGTCTCTCCCCACAATGTGGGTATGTATGTAGGAAGTATAAAGCAGGTCACCAACATAAGAGGCATGTAGTATCTGAAAAAAAAATATAATATAGAAGAAAATCTTACTTTATTGTTCCTATTTTTGTTCGTACTTTATTGTGTGCATATTGTGCAATATGATTGCCAATAATTAACTGATTTCGATCGTAGTTTTTCAAGCAATTAATCAATGAAAGTTTACGTCTGCACTAATATGATATTTATTTTAGTAGCACATCATATGTAAATATTATATACATATACATATATATTTATATATATGTATATTTTTTTTAATTTATATATGAATTTGTTATGTTTGTATGAGTAAAATATAAATTATTTTTTCATTTATTCGATTATCTCTGCACATCATAAAGATTGATTGGTAGAGAATTCCTATAGCATTAAATCCGCTATTAATATCAGATTATATTGGTCTAAATAAAAAACAAAAGTTATTAGTTTAAATAGATGAGTTTCATATGATAGAAGAACTCTGTATTCTTTTTTCCTACTTGATAAATACAATTTTAGTAGATATGTATGATGTAAACAATATCATAAAACAACAGTGCTTGCATTGTTGTTTCGGTTTAAATCTATATGTTATACTGTGTGTGAAATGATGCCGTGAAATTATAGTATATGGAATTATAACACCATAATTCATAGGACTGGCAACAGACGACACTATCGCGTTTGATACAGTATATATTGTAGTATCCACAAAGTTGTTTACTTCTAATAATGCTTATAGGGACCAATTATAATTTTTCATCAACTTCATGGACTTCTATATTGTATAAAAATACTTACTTTTCCTGGTATCGAAGCACAGGATCAGCATATAAGTCGCTGAGGTCGATTTGCTGTCCTTTAGTTTTCACTTCTGGATGCTTCCGGAGCAGTAGCCAGCCGATATGAGAGAAGAAAAAGCCTCGAGTTGCGTTGTAAGGATCAGCATCGGTGTCTGAGTACTTGTGGTGGGCTCGGTGGTCGCGTGCCCATCTAAGCACGGGGTGCTGTAAAAAGGCCATGACATATTTTGTTATTTTTAAAATAAATTCCATTCTTTTAAAGTGTTTACTGAACACTAAAAATAAACAACTATATTGGCCCGTCTGGGTATTGTCGCCAGAATCCTTCTCCTATAAGGAAAGGTCCACTTCTAGCAGTGGTATATTCATGGGCGGTTAATAAGTTACGTTTGATATGAAGTAAAAAGTACAACAGAAGTTAATATTTAATACACAATATTTTTATAGTTCTATAAAAAAAATGTGTATTAAATTTTAAATACAAATTAAAATCAAAATCTTTGTCTAACCTGAAATGCCATACTGTTGAAGATTGCAAGGATGACACGTAAAGGAAAACGAGCTTTGTATGCTCTATGAGACCAGAGTCTGTGCACGCCCGCTGTAATGCCTAATCCGGCAATTATAAGCACAACGAAAGCTATAAGGGAAAAATTACACAATTATTATCTGTCGCAATTATTAAAATAAAGTAAAAATAAAGTTATAAATCATATATATTATATATCATAATATATATATTATTTAACAGGTTTTTGGTCATATGCGTGGAATTTAGAATTAGGTAACAAGTTCTAGATGGCATTTTAACATAAAACGTTTAAAAGATTTAAATTTAGATTTTTAGGATATAATTTTTTCAAAATATCTTTTATGTATAGACATTGTCAAGTTGCAATATTTTGTATGTATACAATTTTTTATATGTATAGATACCATGCATTTAAAAAAACATATTTAGAATTCTAATAATGTTATTATTTTAGTAATAAATTATATATTACCAAAGATACAGGTTAATAGTTTTACTTGTCCAAGGAAAAGATAGCAGCCGTAGAGGCCGGCGATATGTGCTATGAGAAATATGAATACATTAGGCCACACTATATCCCATTCTCTATCTTCAGCTGATCGTGGAATTACTTTTTCGAAATCTTTTTCTGATTGTTCGTTCTCGAACAACACATAAGATCCTTTCCTTTCTTCTCGTGGAGCCATTATTCTGTAACAGTAACGTTCAGTTTTTCTAAAATGTTCTTAACATTTAAAGATCGAGGACAATTTTATTCGCTTAAAAGTTATCAAGCTTTCTTATTCTAGCATAAGAATTTTATTACAAGTTTAAATTTCAAACATGAAGAAAAATAAAAAAAAACTTTTTTTATAATTTAAATTAATATTCTTTCTTATGTCTGTTACATGTTAATTGTCTTGCTTATTTCCTTATTGTATAATACAAATAAAGTATACTTATTCATTGATATTGGCATAGTCTGGCATTCTCTTTTTATGGTTTGTTAGGAACAAATCATAGATTAAGGATAGGAATTGTTACGAAACGGATAGATCTGAGGGAAAGTAAGCATTTAACTAGCAGAAAAAGACCGCCGTCATACTATCATTAATCTGTGAATAGAACAGATACATTTTAATAAAAGCATAAATAATAGTACCTACTGTCGATTCAGATTTATTCAAAAATAATATAAGGATAAGCGAACAAAATAAAACTGTGAGACGTAAGAAAGAAAAAAATTCAAATTGTAAATAAATAAAACACTAAAAAGGTGCATGTTGTAAATAAATGGCTTTTGGCTTATAACTTCATGGCGACTAGTATGAAATTATCAAAAATCCGTATAACTCTTATTTATATATTATACATAAAATTTGTAATAATGTTTCTCGGCTTTATATAAATATAAGCAATATTCCTTTGCATGAAAAGAAATAGGGAGAAATTATTCCATCTTTCATTATAAATGAAATGTATATTTTTAGGTATTTAACCTAACGGACATACTAATTTGAAAAACAAATCTTCAATCTGATTGAATTAATAAAATATTTCTTTTTTTTTCTGTTTTAGGAGAAGTAGAATAATAAGAAATATTTTTCAAAATCTCTATGGGTGTGGATGATATAGAGTAATAATATATTATAATTTTCATAGCAAATATTTTAAAATAATTTAAAATATAAAATAATAATTTAAAACAAAATACCATTTTACTTACATAACTTATAAACGGAAAATTCCTTTTAAGTTATAATTAGATGCAAATCTGATTTAATTTCAGCTAGCACCTTAATATTTAGAGGAGCTCTAGGTATTCATCGGCACAAATGCACGATTTCATTACCCAGAAAAGACTGGAGACAGAAAATTTCTCAAGCTCTTTATATATCATTAGTTTGTTTACAATAGCACGAAAAATAACTATTATCAATCAATCAAATAATCGTTCAATAATTTATTTGTTTAAATATAGGCATAATATTATATACACATAGATATAAATATTTTATACTCTGTAAATGCTGTGTTTTGCTATTATTGTGCGTACAAATATTATTACATAATTTTAATCTATTTTATATTTTAAGCTTACTGAATAAAAAATCTCTTTCCAATGTAAAAAAATAAAACGTGTTTTTTTTTTACAACACAGGGGGCAAACGAGCATGCGGCTCACCTGATGGTAAGTGACCGCCACCCATGATCACCTACAACACCAACGGCGTAGCAGGTATGCTGCCAGCCTTTTAAAAAGGAATATGCTCTTTTCTTGAGGGTTATGATGTCGTATCGGTTCAGAAATACTGCTGGCGGAAGTTGATTCCAAAGAGTGGGTGGGCGTGGAAGAAAGTGTCTTCAAAAACGCACAGGGAAGACTGCCATTTGTCCAGATGATTAGGATGAAATTTTAGTTTATGGCGGGTTGTGTCCCTATTTACAATTTTAAAATTATGAATCTTAAGATGGTGTCTAAATCATGTTATTATTGTCATAAAAATTCTGTGCAATATGGGTAATTATTTTAAGTTATTCGGTAATAATTTGTTGTAAATTTTTAGATTATTTGTAAATTATTTTTCTTTTGAGTCAAACGTTGTGAATGATATTATCAAGCAAGCATGGGAACAAAGCCACTCCTTACTCATAAATGTTTGTCAAAATTAATAATTTCAGAGAACAAAAGATGCGTCCTAAATGCGAACGCATCTTTCATTCTCTTAAAATATAATTTTTTTTTATTCGACATATATGCATTTTTCTGTACTCTAAAAATATTCAGTATTTTAAATGAATTCCCCTAAAATATAATTCCAAATTTTAACACGGGGCAGAAAACTATGGTAAGCAGTAAGCAAAGATTCTCTATTACATATTTTAGATAACTGATATAAGGCGTAGAAATACTTGTTGAGTTTTTTAATTATTTGTTTATATTTCTATGTTAAATTCTTATTTAATTGTTTAATTTTAATGTTCTTTTGTTAAGGAAATATTAAGTTTTCCTGGTAAAAATGAATAAAGAATGTTTATATAATATTGATTTTATGACGTGATTAAATTGTCGGAGTGGGTCAAAAGATTATACATATTTAAACAACTGCCTAGAAACGTGACTTTCTGAGCGTAGTTATTGTTTTTATATAATAATGTGCAATTAAATAGTTTGTACGTGACCAGGATTTGTTGACTGACCAGAACAAAAAAGACAGTGTTATTTTTACATCGATCTATCTATTTTTTCTTTGATCAATTTCCTTTGTTTGCATAAAAATAAGTCCAAATTATTAAATTATTTCGGTCGAGTCAATTTAGAACGTTAACTTTTCCACATTGGCTTCTGTATTCTTGGACTTCAGCTACAAACTTAAGAGTGTTTATATAGAAGAATCGAAGTGTCGTCCCGGTATAGGATAGGCCGCCCCTTCTTTTCCCGTGGGTGTCGTAAGAGGCGACTAAGGGAACTTAATGGTCGAGGAATGGGGAATGATATGTAAATATCATCAAAGTCTAACTGCGAAATCCAAGCTTATCTTATTAAACATAGCAACTAGTAGCAAAACCCCCTAATATGGGGAGACCTATGTTCAACAGTGGACGAATAGCGGCTAATATCATGATAATGATGATAATATAGAAGTATGTATTATTTGCTAATTTACAAATTAAAAATGTATAACAAAAAATATATTTTCTTTATTTATAAATGTTTTTGTAGCATATTAAAATGTGAATTATGCAATTAGATTCGTAGGTTTTTTTGATGGTACAGATGTATTTACAAAACGCAAAAACAAGATAAAAAAGTTTCAAAGATTCAAAGATTGTTATTAATCATCAATTAACAAAAAACGTCAATACCTTTGAAGGCCGGTGCCGCACAGGCAATACGTCCTTTGATGTTATTAGTGTCTATGGACTGTACAGATCACTCACTATCAGGGACATTTTCGTTAGTCACACTGCCATGTAGGAAAAAGTGCTGAAATATCGCAGTGCATTTATTTTGTGAACTCTATGGTGCTGTACATGTCTATTGGCGAAAAATTACTTTCTGTTAGATGAATTGCAGCTTGTTGTACAAAAATATTGCTGAATGTTTAGTAGTGAGGTAGATAAAAGCAATTATCCAATGATAATTGTTAACACTACGACACCATTATAGATAAATAATTCTAATGTCCATAATACGTGTCGCGTAAAAAAATAATTAATTGATAATTAATTTATTAATTATCCGCTTAATTTATTGTTGTCATAAACTCTGCACCAAGAAGTGTTTATTTAAAATGTAATTACGTTCAAACCCTAATCTATAAGTTGTTTTTAAAAGCATGTTTATCAATATCTAACCAACTACAGAGCAAAGATTCGATCTTTTGTTTGTAATAGATAAACTCAAAAGTTACTCAACTGATTTTAAAAATTCTTTCACTAATAGAAAGCTACATTATCAGCAATCTGATCGACTATTTTCTTTGGGGATATTTTAGAGAAGCTGTGTATGAAAAGTAAAATAGAGCTTCGACAAAAATTACATAGCAGATATAGTTCGAAGTAATATAAGAAGTAAGAATAATAGAAAATAAATAAATAAATAAATAAATAATTCTAAATACTGTGTATCATGTATGTACTTCATCTTTCAAACTGAAACAAGATGTATCCATGCAGACGATTTATATACAGCGTTTCTCTGGTAACTTGAAAACTTTTTGTTGTCAATTAACAATAAGTAAGTTCTAAATTAGACTATATAACGATAAGATGATAAATAGATAATAATAAGACGATAGATAGGTTTTTTATTGATGGGTGAAAATGGAATGGTAACCCCGCCTGCGCTAACGGGATACGCTGGCGGAGTACCAGTGAAGGGTGATAGATAAAAATGAAAACAAGCCAGTTAGCCTGATTAATCATTCATCAGGAATTAACCATGATAGTTTCCAGGGGGAACCGCGTGGAGATCGACTTGGTTGGGTATATTGCTAGCAATGGGACTCTCAGTCTACATTTCTAACAATCACTCTCCCCCCCCCCCCCCGATAAATAGGTTGTAATGACGATAGTTAATCATTACAACCTATTTATCGTCCACATATGAACATATGTCTTTCTTAAACTTTACTACAAAATATGATCTTGAACTACATGTACCATAAACCTCTTGGATCACTTTTGAGGTTGTCGCTCACTCTTGCAGGGAGTCGATCCAGACTACGTATATATCTGTATATGGTCGCCACTCGAGAATCTTTCCTTTTTATTCTAAAGGTCGGGAAGTGGACATTTCGCTGATTAAATAAAAAAGGTAAATTTCTTGTCTAACATAGTGTCTGTGTTTTAGTCTGTTTTTGTTGTTGAGTTTTAGCAAGACTAACGATCAGAAATTATTTACATATATATGTATATATATTTTGTATGTGGTGTCATATCAACGGCGGTTAATATTAGTTATATTTGTCTAGAGCGTCGAAATGGTTTAAGCTCTTAAAGCTAACAAAGTAATGGCTATATAAATATCATTATAATGTACGTGCATTCCATCAAGGTAACGCACATAAAACTAACATTTGTGATCATGTTTTGTTTCATAAGATCAAAATATAAACATACTATCAACATAATATGCAAAACAATACATATACAACAACATGCATAGCATTTTCTTGACTATGTTTATCTCTCGTTTGTTTCAAACTCTGATACTTTCGAAGAAGTTTCATTATTTTTCTCTGTAATATTCAGTTTACATGTGTATATTTAGGAGAGACCACATATTTCTACTACATTAAAAAAAGGACAAGCGTTCTTTAACCCCTAAATTCTAGAAGCAATTAAGTTTGAACATTCCATTATTTTATTTAATGGGTGCTGTTGCAATATATAGTACGTGAGAATCAGTACGGGCACGTTTTTCCCCTAGCTGGCACAATTCCAATTTCAATTCAGAAATCTATTTGACTATTAAGCGCTACATATCCCATATCAATGACTAAAAGTATTTACGAAGTATACTTTTTGTTCTAATTAATTAATACATACTATTATGAACATAATGTTATAAGGCTGATCCGAGTAGATTTGTTCACTATGGAAATTGATATAATCCCTTGGATGGAGAATGATGCAATATTTATAATAAATTGGTAATAAGAGTTAAGAATAATATTTAATAGGGTTGAAAATATGTTTATTTATCCATAATATAATAATGAATCGTTGAATGGGTTGCAAAAGCGCAAATCTCGTTCTCGAGATTAGCGAAATTAACGAAAAAAATTACCGATTTCGCTAATTTTTTTTTTAGAATATTTCTTGAAGTACGAGGATGGATTTTACGGAGAAAAAAAAATTAAAAAATTGCCTGAAAATGTCTAAAAACAATGTTTATCTATACTCCCATACAAACGATTCGTAAATATACTTAAAAGTAAATTTGAATTTTAATACCATACCATAAAGTTTAAGTGTCAGTGGAGAGGTTCCGGGAAAGAAAAACAATTGAGTGATGTGGCACGGCGTGTTTTACAATTTTTATTTTTTGACATAATGTAATTGTTGACTTATTAACTTTCTTTTTTCTTATTTTATCTTACTAGCTGACCCGCCGTCCCGAATAGCAGAATAAGTAAAAACTAAAACAATAAAGAATCGACTGTTAGGCGGTACGAAGCTCGCGGGGTCAATTCGTTTTTTATAATATTGTTTATAAAGTTTCTTAAAGGTCAGTACCGCGCGCGTGACATCCCTGGTATTACACGCGGCCATAGACTACGATAACCATGTTCACCATCAGATGGACCGTATGCTTGTTTGGCACCATAGTAGTATAAAAAAATTTGTTATCTTTAGTACTAAAAACG